ATGCTATAAGTTTAATTAAGGGCTATCCATATTTATTTACTGAGTTATCTCATAGTTTTTCCTTGTCCACCATTTTAGGAAGTGAAACCGAGGACGAGGAAACCACGGGAAGTGACGAGTTAGAAAGTTAGCCATTTCGAGATTGATATAGATTTTAGAAATAAATCGTGATTTTGTAAGCTAGAGTGTATTTGGAGATTTATGATATCGGAGAAATTTTAAAGATTTGATCTTCAGATTTTGATGGTATCAAATTGTGATATGATAAGTTCCGAGCCTTGTGCATTTGTGAGACCCGTCTCACGAGTGCATGGTGTCTGTCGCGCCTCGGATTTGGGTTCTGGGGCGTGACAGATATTTAGCGAGCAATTGTCTCCCCGTCCCCTTCCATATTTTTCCCTTTCCACTTCTCCAATTTATCCCCTTCCCCAATTCTTTGATTTTATATCTAACAATTTCCCCTTTTCTCCCCTTAATAACAGCAAACCTAGGTCTAAGATACAAGCTCAAGAGCCTGGCTAATAAGGAGGAAAATTGATGATGATGATGGTGACAATGATGATGATTAAAGGGAAAGAGAGGTAAGTTTTGGGTTTTAGTCTGAGGCCTCACTATAAATAGAAATGTTAGGTGAGAAAAGGGGTAGATTTTCTAGGTTTTGAGTGGAGGGAGCCAACGTCTAAAGATATAGTTCCTAGGAGAAATTGTGAACTTTTGTTCTACGTACCCACCATTTAGGAACCAAGCAAATTTTATTACGGTATAACTAATCCATGGACCTTCATAGTTGGGTATTCTGAAATAGTTATTTCATTTTGTTTTTTTTTTTTTTTCTTTATAGTTTTCTTGCTTACCTTGCATTTATTTGGTGGTTTTAGCATTATTTTGGATTGGGGAAGTTGGGAGGAAAGAGGAGGAGGGGGAGCTGCTTTTTGCTAGTATCGGGGTTATTGATTTTAAGGGAGGTGGAAGGAGATGGAAGGAACTGAAATCCCTTTTATTGTTCTAGTTTTAATCCCTTTAAATCAAAAGTATTAAAAAAGATTAGTTCTATATATTTAATTTTTTTTAAAAATAAATATATAAAAATATTTTATATCAATTTTTTAATTAATAAATTCTAAAAATTTTATTTTATTTTTTAAAATTATTTAATTAAATAAAAAATTATTTTTTCCCTTTTATTTTTATCTATCTAAATAAAATTAAATCAATTATTTCTTTTTCTTCACCTCTCCTTTCTTTTTTCTCTTATTTCTTTTCTTCCCTTTATTAATTTTTATCCAAATAAATGTTTAAGCAATGATAATGCAAGATCCTTAAGTTTATGGTTTGAGGAAGAAAAGGGAAGAATTTTACAATAAAAGACCACGTGGACAGGGACGGTAGATATAATAAGGGCGCGAGGCCTTGCTCTTTTGAAAAAAAGAAAAGAAAAGTACTTTTTAGTATTTGGGAAATGCTTTTTATATAATATTTTTATTTTATTTTTTTGTACAACTTGACGTGTTATTAAAGTAATTGATCTTTTTAATTTATGTGAGACTTGTGATATTGAATGCATCTACTCATTTAATGACATGTGAAAGTTGTATAAAAAAGTAAGACAAAAATGTTGTCCTCATAGCACTATCTTTAGTATTTTATGAAAATCTTAATAAATAAATTATTATATATTTAAATTTAATAAAATAATAAGTATCAGATTTGAAATTTTTTGTACATATTTCAAGAGAAAAAAAAGTTTACTCTAATATGTATTTGAAATAAAAGAAAATAAATCTATAAAATGTTTTTTTTTATTATTATTATTATTAAAAAATAATATAAAATAATTATTTAAAAAAATTAAAATCGTAAAAATAGTTTTCAAAATCTCTAACTAACTTCAAAATTTCTAAAACCAAGTTTTACTCGATTCCACATTCATTCTTCTCTCCTTACGATAGAGATGTTATGTCCTGTATTAGTTAGAAAATTCTATTAAGTCTCTTTTTGTCCTTTATTTTTAATTTTTTCTTATACATTATTAATTTTTTAATTAATTAAACAATTTGATGACAAAAATGATAATTTGGTTTCTTACTTTTTGAAAATAGCAATCATATCTAATTTAGAAATTGGCTACAATACTTATTTTATAGATTAAATAATTTAATTTCATAGTGTCATAGATAATTTTATTTCATTATTATTAAATTATAAATAAAACTTTTAATTTTTTTAATGGTACTATGAATTTAAATTACTTTGTTATTAGTGAAAATTTCATCTAGAACTCTTATAACATAAGCAAATAAAATATTTTAATTTTATGATATCATAATTCCTGTTGAGTCATTTTTTATTTTATATATGTTATAATTTATATTATATTTGTAAATAATAAAAAAAAAATTGGCACCCTCTCTTAAATTTTGTTCGAGCTTCGTCGCTATAAGGTCATAAACTAGGAGAAAGTATGCAGAATTTTTATTGAAATCTAGGTTTTTTTAGTAATGGAAGCCTGGAATGTGCTAACTTTGTTTGTTAGTCTTTTTTTTTTTTTTTTTTTTTTTTAAAGGTGTTTGATGGGTTGGAAGTTTAGAAAGTTTGGTACAGTAGCGTTAGATTTACTTGTTTGTGGGTTAAAAACGTTGTGGGCTGTGTTTTCGTGTTTGGTTAGGTTCAGTTGTCTGTAACCGTGGGATCCTGAGAAAATGAAGAAGAAATTGTGCAAGTCTCGGTTTTGTAATTTGTGGTTGTTGGTCTTGGTGCAGAAAATGATGTTGGTGCTTTTTCTATAAACACTAAATACTGAGAAAAATGATTTAGAAATAATTTTTTTTATGATTTTGTACATTATTTGAATAATTATTTTTTTATTTATTTAAAATTATGATATTAAATATATTAACTCATTTAATAATATATAAAAATTTATATAAAAAAATTATTTTTATATTACTATTCATAAATATTAAGGCAGTGATATTAGAATAATTTTTTTTTACAACTTTTGTATGTAAATTTTATATGTCGTTAAATAAGGAAATACATTGAATATCATATGACCTCAAGAAGGTAATTTTATAGTTAAGAGTTTGAGATTTCAAATTAGAGATTTCATATTCAAATTTTGAGTCAGAAAGAGAGAAATTTAAGGAAAGATGAGGGTTATTTCATTTTATATAACTCATCATTATCAAATATATAAAAAATATATTTAATATTATGAGTTTTAAATAAATAAAAAATTAATTATTTAAATAATATGTAAAATTATATTAAAAGATGATATAAAATAATTATCTTTTAATCATTTTTCTAAACAATATTAAAATGACAATGGCTCCTATAGCCACATTAATTATAAAGTTTTTACCATGCCAACATTTTAGTTTATGTGGCATTCCAAGTAATATTGATATTTAAAAAATAAAAAAAGTGAATATTAGGTTGTATTGAAAAAAATTAATAATAAAAATATTTTAAAATTATATTATTTAAGTATAATTTAATTAAAAAATACTTAATATCTTAATTTTTAAAATAAAAATAAAGTTATTGAAGTATTTTCATTATTTAATTTTTTACAATATAAATTAATATTTATTAATTAACCCTTAAAAATATATGTGGATTTAACGAAAACATTAGCAATGTCAACATCTATCTAGTGTTTTAAACCTTGACCTGACTCATTTTTTGTCATCAGATTTGGTGTAACCGGTTGAATCAATTTAACTAGTCAAACCAATTGATTAACTTAATAAATGCTATTTAATTCATTGTATCAATTATAAATTATTTTTACTTTGATTGATTTTATTTTTGAGACTTTATTTTCAAAATTTATTAATTTGAAATTAATTTCATTAATTAAATTTATTAAAATGCATAATATATTCTTCTTTAATAGGCATTTAAAACATTGATATCAAATTAATTATAAAATTATTTTTTCCTTATATTGATTTTATTTCTAAAATTGCTTAAGATTAATTTTAATTTTAAATTGATTTCATTCATTTCATTATATAAAGTAGTTATTTATTTTATTTTAAAATCAAATTGAATTTGATTTTAAGTTAAAATCACTCTCTAATTTGCAATAATAATTTAATTTCAAATTACATTTAAATTAATTTAAAAATTTTTATTCATTAGTTATGATTTGATTTTAAATAGATTTTACAATTTAATTATTATATTATCTATTACCCAAATAAATAGATATAGAAAAATTAAAGAAAAATGAAAAAAGTGAAAATGTAAAAAAAGAAAATTCAAATAGATCAGGTCAACTAGTTGACCAGATTTAGATGGGTTTGACCGACTTGAGTGGATTTGGCTGGACTTGAGTAACTTTTTACTGAGTTTCACCTGAAACTAGTTAAATTACACGTAAAATTATATAAAAAAGTCATCTTTAAATCACTTTCCCCTTTTTTTTTTTGTTTAAAGTTTTTAAGATTTTGATGGGACCCAAAAATCACTCCGCATCAACGTCTAGAACAAATGAAAAAGAAGGGAACAAATGGAGTCTATACAACCATTTGGGTTGTTAGTGCCATTAGTTATAAAGAGTTTATTTGCACCAATCAAGGAGTTAGAGGGCTTTTTGCATCATTTTTAGTTTTAGGGCATAAATGCTAATTTGGAGGGGTAAGTTAGGGGGCTTAGAAAGGCTTTTTGCCAAACTACAATCTCGATCATCGGTTGTTCATATCATGGTTTGTTGTAAGTTTAGGTCTGTGCCCGTGATTTCCTATTTCCACCTTCTTCTGTTATCGAAGAACTATCAGAAATTACCTTAGATTGCTTACTGTAGTCTTTGCGTCTTTAGGAAATTGCCCATCCTATTTCCATGATTTGCTGGGTCTTCTTTTGCTTTCTGTAAAATTAGCCGAGCAAATTTGCTAGGTTAGTTTTCAACTGCAGAAAATTATCCACTAGACGTTCACCTATTTCATGTAGCTTCCTTTTAGTTGCATTTTTGTGAGAATAGTTCCTCTTACTCTCATTTGACTGAAATGGAAAATGGAAGAGAGTACATCAACACTTTAGTCAAGAATAAATCTATTCAATTTGCCGGAAGTGAGAAGGTTGCGCAATCCTCGTCTAAGAATTCCAAGAGCTCCAAGTTGCTGGAGAATGGGAAATAGAGTAGAGGTCATGCATGCGAAGGTAGGGATTCCTTGAAGTGAAAATCGAACAAGAGAAAAGGAAATCGTCAGAGATGGGGGTTTGATTTCAGGTATATTTTTCATCCCCAATCCGTTGTTGAGTAAGAGAATCGTATGATTTCACTCAATTTCTCCCAATCTGTTGAAGTATATATAAGTTGAGATTTGTAACATTCAGGGCTTTCTGATTGCTGATGATTTTAGATTTACTTTGTAATTGGCACTTTGATATTATAGTTACCTGCTATGTTTGAATATCAAACTTGGTTCCTATTTATGTACCTAGATTGTTTGGGTTTAACTTGAAAAATCTTAGGCTAATAGAGAATGATTAGTGTTAATTGGTTGTCTTTGGTCACATTTTTTCATGAGCATTCTGTTGAGTTGTCTTCTGATTTCATAAATAGTTAGTTTGCAATTTTATGTTTTCTATTTGCTTGCTTGCCGCATATGCAGTTTGTGCTAATTCTTTAAGGTGTTAAATTTTTTGTTTGGATATATATAATTGAACCAAATATTAATTTTAGTCTTCTAAAGTATTATTTAAATTATATCAAGACAAATAAATTAGATAAAATAGAAACAATGACTTTCATTAATCAATTTATCTTCATATTTTTCAGTTTTTGTTTATTTTTTTAATTATCATATAGTAATAAATTTCTACAAAATAGATATATTATGAA